TGCACATAACTTCTTTCTGGCAACACTTGAACAGAAATGTTTGCATAAAATTCCATTCAATCCATAAAAATATATGCCCCCGTTCCCCACAAGATAAAGGAAAAAAACGTAAATTAGCTTCAAACCTCATTTAAAAAAATACTAAGACCTAAGAAAAATTAGGTCTTGGTAATACTGCTTCGTCTCCATTGGCTAAGCTGCACTAGCTATTCACCCACTGAGACATTCTGCCAGAGTGGCTGGACCAGCCACTCAGCCACTCTCCCAGAGTGGCTGGACCAGCCACTCAGCCACTGCCAGAGTGGCTGAGTGGCTGAGTGGCTGCTCCAGCCACTCTGCCACAGCCACTCAACCACTCAGACGCTCTGGTAAGAGTGGCTGGTCCAGCCGCGAGAGTGGCTGAGTGGCTGAGTGGCTGGTCCAGCCGCTCTGCCAGAGTGGCTGAGTGGCTGAGTGGCTGCTCCAGCCACTCTGCCACAGTCACTCAGCCACTCAGACGCTCTGGTAAGAGTGGCTGGTCCAGCCGCTCTGGGAGAGTGGCTGAGTGGCTGAGTGGCTGGTCCAGCCACTCTGGGAGAGTGGCTGAGTGGCTGAGTGGCTGCTTCGATTTCGCGAGCCGTGTTGCACATCCACTCAAATCTTCCAGTCCTATCTTTTGAGTCATCAGTTTGGTCCAGAGAACATCGGCACGTGCAAGGTAACTGTCGTGACTTTCGTCATTCTGTTGGCTGCATTGGTACAGTGCTCTTTCAGCATCGGCGTACCTCTTTTCTAACCCTGTCTTTCCCCAATGTCCTCCAAGCAGTTCGATCAGGCGTTTGACGCCTTTTTCATCATTGATGCACAGTTCTGTCTGATGGAGCTGCAATTTGGCGAAAGCTGTACCTGAAGTATTCAGTATCAAACGGGTAATCAGTTCATTCACCTTGGTCGATGGCCAGACTGAAAAAACCAGTTGAACCTTTTGTTGGTACAATTGGAGGTCGTCCTTACTCGGGTCGAAGGACGGAACCAGATATGCAAGCTGACTTGAGATCGTGCCACCTGCTGTCTCGGATGCTTCTGTCCCTTGGGGACCGTCACTACCAGAAGGCATGTATCACCTGGTTGAAAGCCCTCGTATTGCTATCGAAACCACAAATGATCAGACCTGCACCTGGTAGCTTTCCCCGGATGCCCCTGGCTCAAAACTCTGCCAGGGGCTCCGCTACCAATGTAAATCCGGTAGCACCCCTGTCAGAACCAAAAATTGGTGGAACCCTTCCACAAGTATCACCTGGACTGCCGCCTCACAGTCTTTTGACTCTGATCGCACCAGCTGTCACCTCAGCTAAGTATGGCTGTCCACAGCCTGCCGAACGTGCCACCAATGGCTCTCCGATAGGGATGTTTCCCTCCCACCGCTGCACCTTGGGCTCCCTGAGCCGAATCCCTACAGGTAAAAGCGGATGGCAAAATTGGATGGACCCGGGAATCAAGAGGCATATGAATGATGTTGGAAATGAGTTCATTCACAATATATATATATATATTTATATATATATATATACACGTAAATATGTATATGTATTAATGAATAAGGGTTTGGGATATTGGTTCCATGTACGATTGGGAGTCCACAAAGGTTTTCTCATGATTGATTTTGATGAGGTGCCAGCTTCCCCAACCACTTTGAGCACCTCAGGTGACCTGTATATCGGCGAATGGTTAGACGGCCTTCGTTCCGGACAGGGCACCTTGACCAAGGCCATTCGAGGGAAGCATTAGTTTAGGATAGGGGGAAGGTATTAGGGGGGATCCAATTTTAGATTGAATGGATGATTTTCTACTTTTCAATGCCAACTGATGGGATAGTTCACCCCAAAGGAACAATGCTTTCAGGATGGATCAGGATGGGGTGTTCTGGGTGGCACCTTTTGGGTATGTCTCGAAAAGGGGTAATACCGGAATACTGCACGTGGACCAACCAGCACCGGTTTTGCCTAAATGTCCTGACAAAGGCACACGGCTATGGCTCAACACGTGCCATTGACCCCCAAAAAATGGTTGCAAAGTCGGCCAGCTATGTGTGGATGTCACCTGCAACGACAGGCCAATGGTGACTGTTATGAAGGATACTGGCTGAACGTTTTCCCGGCCAGTTTGATTCACCGGCTGAAATGGTGATGACTAGTGACCCAGCACTTTGGGTAAAGTTTGTGAAATACTGTTGGTTATGGCCTATTTCAAACTACCCCAAGTTTCTGAGTTCATAATTGGATATGATATAAGTGTACCTTTGGGGGACTTCAGGGTTGCTACTTACCATATAAAAATGAGTGAAGGATGTCAATGCCCTACAAAAAAGATCAATGAAGATGTGAAGTGTTTTTTTTCTATTTCTATAGACGCTCCCTTCAATCTATTCCAGTTGATTTAGCTTGCCCCCATGGTCCATCCATTTTTTCCCTATGAAGCTAAGCCAGGACATGAGAGAAGGCAGCGGCTCCTATTTCTACGCCCAGAGCGGCAAGGTCTTCGTTGGTGAGTGGGTCAACGACTTGCCGAAGGTGGATGGCTCAGCTCTCCATGGACGCCCCGTATATGTGGTTTCTTGATGTTTGTGCGGAAATGTCATGGTTTTGCTGTGGTTTTGAGAATGTTTGGGATATGTTGTAGTTTCCATATGTTTAACCATCACTACTTGGAATCAGCCCAATTGACTCTCAGATCAGATCTATAAGATGTCCATTTCTTGTTGTGCAGTGATTCAACATTGATCAACCAGTACGAACATGTACGAACCATTTGAATGACCATGAATCAACCATTATCAGAATCATCAAAATGAAACATTATCAACCAACAATTCATCAACCACTATCAATCAACCTTTCTCAACCTTTCTCAACCATTTCAATCCATTTCGGCCTTTACCTCGTTTTCCACCCCGGCCGTCGTGTTCTTCTCCGCAGCAAGGCGGGGGTCTACACGCAGGCGAACTCCAATCCGGAGCAAGCCACGTCGGGTTATGCCCAGGAAATGCGACGGGTGAGTCACCGGGGTGTCCTGGTCAGAACAAAGTTGGAACATATTGGATCAACTTGGCTTATTATCATACATGTTATATCATATTATCCAACTATAATCTAAGTATTATCTAATAATTATACAATATATATAATATATATATATATCACAAAATATCTTGGACATATCTTCCCCAATGATCCTGAATTCTGAGTGAAGAGAGAAGATGATTTTGGGACCCTCAACCGCCAAGGCCAGTGCCGCAGACCACTGTGCTGCCGCAGGTGATGTTGGCCTTTCCCAACGAGGCCTGATCCAATCACCTGCAGGGGGGATGGACATGTGAATTTTGACAATTGATATGAGGATATGATAGGATATGTACATGATAGTATATGATTTGTATATGATCTAGGATGAAGTGGATTTAAAATTGAAAGACAGCCGAATATTGCTTTGACCTTCAATAAACAAATCTGGAAAATAGACACTGGAATGATGGATTTGGAGTCCCACAACTCTGCGCGACTGATCAGTTCCTTCGGTTGGGGAGCCCCAAAAGTTGGCTTGGTGAATGGTTCTTGAGGTCACTATTCTATTTCCAATCATACTGATATTATGTGTGATATATTGTGGCACAGCACTTGGAGTGAGACTTGTGTGTGGTAAACGCACCATCCAATCAGTCATCTAAGTATTCCTCCACATCTCTGGAACTCCATTGGACAACACTTCTGAAGAGGTCTTACCTGTGCAGGAGTGGAGCCACTGCAGTCTGCACCATCTGCACCAACTCAACCATTCCACCAGATATCGACGGATTTGGCTTAGTGGACTGGGGCACCTAAAAAATTCCCATGATTCCTCGCTACTCTGCCTGGCGATAGGTCTTGGAAGGTGCCCTGGCTGCTGTGCGAGAAGTGCAGAAGTCAGGGGCCTCAGCGGCCGGGCTGTCAGCGGGCCGCCGGCTTGGAAGAGTTTTGGGGTCCTTCTGAGGAGTCCTTGTTATTAGGGACATGGGATGTGCTATTGCCCCATCACACTTCTTCAAAGATTTGAGGTATATGTTGGCTAAAAACTCCGGGGGCAGAGCCGCAAATAGCTGGTCAAACCCACAGATGTTTCAATTTTGTGTATAAACCAAATCAATGACTGACCCACACCCAAAGCTCGATCCCCAAAACCCAAGAACTTGTGAACATGGATCCATGTTGTTCCCCCGCTTGTTGACTGGGGGTAACCCCAGTCATACTGTCAATGAGGGTTGGGAAACCCCATAGCCATCCATAGCCCATACAGCATTACCCAGGAATACGTGAATGGTTCCCTAGCTAATTTGTGAGTTCAAGCATTTTTGTTTGATCCATACCTCGTACCATAATAAAGCAAAAAAAACATCCAAACAAAACTACATCAGATTGGAGGGGATAAAGCCGCCCCACTTGCCAGGATTGGCGCATCGACCAGATACGAGGCGCCTGAAATCTCTCTGCAAGCGGAGTCTCTTGAGATGCAGAATTGATGCCGAATCCCAGTCCCTGGCTGAAATGCATTGCCATGAGAAATAAACGTAGGCTTTTGAGGGCATGTTGAAGGTTTGCCAGTAGCCCTTTCAGCCAATGTGGAAGAGCACCGACGTTTCACCCAGGTGAAGAGTTCAGTACCTGATTTCCCCCAGGGGAACCTGTGCATCAGAGATGCAGGGTCAATCATGTCTCACCTTGGCTAGAGTTTGCATGAAGCCGCGAAAACCTGCAGCGTGCACCAAATAAGCTCGTGAAGCCTCCTTTTGGATTGCTGTTCGCAGGCCACAAGTTGCCAGTGATACAGTATTGTTGTTCCAATGTTGATTTCAATGTATTTATAATCCCAGGTTTGTTCGGTGTATATACCCATATTTGGGGATGGTCATCAATCCATCTATACCCATTGTTTGCCGCTTAAATCCCCATCTCTTTTGGTGAAATCCCGTCCCAGCATCATTCCCTCAGGTTAGCCTTCGTATCGCCCTCGGCCATGGTAAACTGCTTCAAGTCACATCCTCGTCCTTGGTTTTACGCCAGGACTAAGGGGATCCACAGACAGGGGCCTGGAAGTTGGGGGATGAGATCCTAATTTTGTGTGGAGTCAGTGGAGTTTTGAAATTGTGGTTGCCTCCAAATCTTTTTCTCTTGTGGCGACATGTGGCGACTTTTTGTCCTTCGATCTCCCTTCTGAGCTGTCGCAACCAACTTCTCCATGGCATGTTTGGTTTTGATTCCGGAAATTCGGGAAATGATGTGTTTTCTGCTGTCACATCTCAGTAGACTCAGTAGATGATTTTCAAACATGATGGAGACCTCAAGTGTGGTATCTCCATGAGAATGTCTGATTTTTGTCCCTTACTCTCTTCCGCCAGAATTTCATTCCAAGCACAGGACGTATGCCATGAAGTATGTCAGGGTGCTGAACCGCATGTCTGTGGCACGCTTGAGTGACCTGGCCGTGGCAAGGCTATCCCATGCCCCAAAGAATTCCCAAAGGCCAAGGGTAGCCATGGCCATACCATAGAAACTGATATCTATTGTGGATGCAGAGCATTTTTTGCTTCCAGGTCGTGAAATTTCAGCCCTGTCCATCTGACCTCTAGGTGACATTCACACCGTGGAGGAGGAAGAGGTCAAAGTCATGGCGGCGGAGAATCTTGGGCCCAGAAAATTGTGGGAACATGTGGGAATGAATGTGGAACACATCAGAAGATGATGGGAAAATGATGATATATAATATGATGGTGATATATAATATGATGGTGACAAATGTACATCCATTTCAGTAAGGTCAGAGCCGACAGCATCAGACGTGCGCACCGCTTGTTTCATCCCGAGGAGTGCTGAGCTCCAGAAGATGTCGTAAATGTTGCTGCCAAAGAGCATGGAGTGGTCACAACCAGAAAGCCATCCAAAAGTGTCAGAATCCAGAGATGGATTGGCAAGCGTTTCACCACTCAGAAAAAAATCAAAGAACCATTAAATGTAATCAAATATGTTAATTTAAATGTTATATATTTTATATTTGAAATTTGAAGCATGAATTTATATTATATTTGACAGCCTTTTGCATTCCGCTGGCTCTCTGGCCTTTGGCCTACAAGCCCGGTATCTCGAAAAAAGTGGTGCGTGTAGAAGCCGGGGTGTAAAATCTGGTTGGATAAAATGTGGTTTGCGTAAAAGGTGGTTTGTCTAAAAAATTGTTTGTATGTAAATTGGTATATGTAAAACTATTGTAATTTGTACAAAAATTGGTTGGTGTAAAAGGGAATTTGTGTAAATTTGTTGTAGAGAAATAGGTATATGTAAAAAAATATTTATGTGTATATACATATATATATATATATATATTTGAGTAAGACTTGGTTAATGGAACAATTAATAATTATAATATAATTGTTTAGAGTTGAACTTACAATTGTTGTTGTGGCCGGGTGCAATTAATGTAGTGTAGAATTGGAGTGTTGTATATTGTCGTACATTGTAGTTTAGTTTAGTGTAATGCAAAATAATGTAGTTGTAGTATAATTTGTTTTGTGAAGTGCAATGTAGTTGTATTTATGCGAAATTGTAATTATAATATATTATAATATAGAAAGATGTAGTGTAATTCTATTTGTAATTATGAATAATATATATTGTAGAGCTTCGCACACCGGCGATGCCTGTAGGGGTCGGGGGAGGGAAAGAGAGAGGGGAATTTCATCTGAACTTGCGGACAGGACATGCTGCGAGCTGCATCTTCGTTGTCGTCGTTGTTGTTTCTGGTCCTCCTCGTTCTCGTTCTTGTTGTCGTTGTTTTTGTCCTTGTTGTCGTCTTTGTCGTCATTGTCGTCGTTGTCGTCGTTGGCCTTGTTGTCGTCGTCTTGGTCGTCGTTAGTGTCGTCGTCGTTAGTGTCGTCGTCGTTGTTGTTATTGTTGTTATAGTTGTTGCTGCTTGGTCTTGTGGTTATTGTCGTTGTTATCTTTGTAATTGGAACTTTTTGGTAAACCCCTTAAAATCGTTAAATCGACGGTTTTTGCAAACCCCAAAAAGCGTCAAATAGGCGGTGGTTTCGCGATTTTTCACATTCTCGGAACAAAAAAACCGTAAATACCGATGTTTTTGGCTCCGCGCTAACGCAAAACCACGGTATTTACGAGGTTTTGAGCCTCTGCGAGCAAAAATCACAGTATTTACAGTGTTTTGTGGCCCGGGCCTAGCAAAAACACTGGTATTTACGCAGTTTCCTGCATGTTGTCAGAAGCTTTTTTTGGATGCCAAAGGCACAAAAACATTGTAAATTATACGATTTTTACGCGTGGACAATACCAAAAAATTATGAAAAATTGACCAAAAACCGACCAAAAAACGCCCAACAAGGACCTCCAAAACGCATCTGCAAATTTTACCTTCTTTTCTCCCACCCCGAAGCCCCAAAAACGTGAAAACCCCAGCAGGCTGAAGGATTTTAGGGGAGGGTCG